CCGAGAGAGAGAGAAAGCCGCGGAACCTCGGCGCAGCGCCACTTGGACGGCACGTGTGCGCACGCACACGCGCGCCCACCATGCATCGCGCCGCTTAGACACGGTTCGTGCAACGCTAGTGTGCACGCGTGCGCACCACTAGACGGGAGGCAAGTGGCCTTACAAGGACGTGCCGCGACACGTACGGTCTGCAACAGCACGAATGCGCCACCGCTAACGCCACTGCGCATAGTCGATTTACATGAGCCACGCTGCGCATGCGCGCTCGCTACCGCCTACCCGCGGCACGCGCACATGCGCGCTCGCCCGAACCTACCTGCTACGTCTATCCGCCGTGGCGCAGCGTGCCTCCACACCGGACCGACTCATCGCCGCTCTCTCGCCTCTCTTCCCTCTCCCTTTATTTTTTCAATTATCCTCTATCGCTCTATCTTTTTCTTTTCCCTTCCAACTCTTTTCTTTTCTTTTCTTTTCTTTTTTTCTACCTAACTGCCTCCTAACCGTTGTACGATTATCGGAGCTGCGCTTTTTATGCATTTACAAGATTATCGATCGAGAGGTTAATTAAAAGAGATGAGAGTACAAAATCAAGAGCAGGATTTAATCTCCGCCTAAATGAACATAATTTTCGCGTGACGCCACGTTTAAATCATTCGACGATCCCGTATTTTTTTTTTTTTTTTTCTTTCTTTTTCCTCTTTCGAGAATCTGATCGCGGTAACACCCGCGCGGACACATATTTTTTTCATACTTTTTTTACGCTCGGAGAGGAAAGCCTCGAACGATTAATAAATCGACCGATCCCCGGTGAATCAGCGTATCCCGTAACGCGAGATCGTTACTCGTTCCCGAGACGCGTAATGAAGTCTTTTCTCTTTAAATGCTCTCTTCGACTGCCTTCTCCTCTCGCAGGAGCAACTGCCGAATGAATAAACCGTAAAATTATCCAACTTTCGCGCGATGCCTCGCGCGATAAGCACCACGATTCCCTTTCCTTACAAGTTTTTTTTGGCCAATTTCGTCCGATAGAATCGGAATCGCCGGGATTCGCGATTGGCGAAACTGCGGCGAAATTGCGTTGCGCGAAACGATTTATATCGCGAAATTACTACCCCGTGCAGTCACAATACGATGTGATAAATTATTAAACGGTTGCGCACGGCGGCTGTACACGGGGATTGGCAACGCGTGAAAGGACGAATGGTAATTCGAACGTTTCGCGTTATCGGCGCAATCGGAATCGTGCGTACTCTTGTCCGTCCGTTTCTGTCCCTCGGGCTTTCCTGGTTTTCCAGGGGAAAGCGGCCAAGCTAATTATTAATGGTCCACGGTTTCTCCGGCATCGTCCGCCGTTGAAAACAATTCAGCTACCGTTCGAAACGGTGGCTACCTTTGGATTCGGTTAACTCGCGTGAAATAGTTAGTAAACGTTCGTACTGGATAGAATTATTGGATCATTCAGCTTACGATGCTAATAAAATCGATCGAAATAATGGCTCGGCTCGCCAGAAATGTTCGTTACGTTTTACCGATTTCGATCGATAATGCGAAAAGTTCGCCAGAAATTTTTTCCTCTCCCTCCCTCCCTCCCTCCCTCTGAGATTTACAGTTTCTCTCGATTTCAATTCGAATTATTTGAACGCATTGCGCAATCTTGAAATCGTGTTACCACCATGTAACGCAACGGCGCCTCTTTCTTTTTCTCTCTATCTCTCTAAGCAAATTAGTTTTTGTTCCCGGAGAAATTCAATTGTGAACCGCTTATACCATTCTTCTTTTTTTTCTTCTTCTTCTTCTTCTTCTTTTTCGTTTTTTTGTTTTCTGAAAACATACACTTTGCGCAAACTCGTTACGCAAACACGAAAATCAACTCGAAAACCATTAATTTCGTTTCGTTCTCCGTACAACACGTTCACCGAGCATTCCCCTGACTTTAGCTAAACGTCCGCAAACGTTCGAACAAAGTTAGGCATTCCTGAGCTGAATTTCACAAACGCTTATATCCGAACAAAGGAATTCTACGTCGCGATCTCGCTCGTCTCCTCGCCGAAGAGTGAGCGAAAGTATCAAAAGTTTCGTCGACGATCGAGAGAAAATAGGGAAGGGAAAAAAATGCAAAGGGTACGATTTTTACAATAATCTTCGGCAATTTTTCTCGTGGCAAATGACGGACAGGTGTCGTGTCGCAATTGGTCGAAAAAAAAAAGAAAAAAAGAAAAGAAATGCGAGAAGTCGACGACACGACAAAATGTAAAATGATTTTTGCGAGAAATTATAGGATTTCCTTTATATACCACCGGACGGAACACTGGTTGATACGGGAATCAGATATAAAATTGATGGTTGTAGAAAATACGAGTAGTCGTTTCAAAATACATTTACATGTTATTGATACGTCGTCCAGACGTTAATATCGCAAATAAGATATTTCTCTTTTTCCTTTCTTTCAATATGGCTGATCAGACACGGGTAAATAAGATAGCAGCCGCCCGTAAATATATCTCCTCGAGTAGCCGAAAAACGAGCAAATACGCATTCCTTATTATATACGCTCGTCGATATCGACCATCGTGCATAGTTTTGTTTCTGTTTTCGCCGATCCTTATCTCACGGATCATTACCATTATTGCTCGTCTATCGATCCGCGATTTAAAAATCGCACACGCACGATCCATTACCAGGCGAAGCCACTTGTCAACCCGCCTCACCTCAAGTTTCGTTCAGTTTTATCGACGACTAATTAAACTTAAGACTAATATAAACACCACGGTAAAAATTGTAGAGAAAAATAATTTCGGGATAATACTCGGGAGGAAACGGCTTCTTCGTTCCATCATCGATATCGCAACAGACGAGATGTATCGCGTCTAAGAGCAATTACATCGACCACGGTGCTTCTGGTATACGTTCAAAATCACATTTATTAAGCGGGATGGTGAAAGGCTGGGCCGTGATTAACAGTATTACCGGGTAGCGTGGATGCCAGGGGCCACCCACGAGCCTCGATCAACTCGGAGCCTCCTCCTCTCGTTTCGCTTCGGTCTCTGCGAAGACGTAATTTAAATTTTTTTTCAATAAAAATTTCATAAAAGAATTTCACGAAGGAGAAAAAAATCGAGGGATTGTTAACGAGACTCCTCGGTTAACTCCGCTTACGCAGATTTCCTCACATCTTGGAACAACTCCCTTCGAGGGAGTTTAAACAGTCGGTTTTAAATTCACCCGTAATCCTCGTAAACGCATTACGTACCCGATATCGAGAGGCTCGCGTGGAATCACGCGCTGCACGACCAGTCGGCCAGGTAATAGGTTGGCGGGGATCGCAGGTGGCGCGAAATTGAAATTGATTCCGCATCGGTAATAAGGGGCTCCCCGGGTTCCGTGCGTTACGAGCAAAGCGCACGGCCCGAGGTCGTCCACGACTCGTGTGAACGCTCCTCTTCTCGTTTCTTTCTCGCCACCTGATCCAGCTCTTCCCTTCCGACAACCTTCGATAACTCGTAACGCATAATTGTGGCGAAAAGGCTCGTGACCGAGCAAACTCGTCGTCCACGAGAGAGAGAGCGGCGGTTCTCACGGGCGAGGGCGAACCATTAACTTGGAAATCTTCGATTTACGGTCGCTTTCTTTCGCGTTTCAACTTTACGCCCGCGAACAATGGCCGCCCACGCCAGCCATTATATTTATTCGCCGGTCCACCCGTATAAGTAAGCGTCCGTCCACAGACGCGCCGTATATATATACATCTCCTTCGCTTCCTCCGCCGTAAACCTTCCTCCCGGACCACGAGAGGATGCGCGTCAACTGTCGCGCTGCTTAACCAGCCGCCCGTGCTTTCCACTCTCAGAGGAGGGTGAGGCGAAACGAATGTGGCGATGTAAACCACGCGCGTCGTTCCCTTCCCTTCATCCACCAGCGAAACGAACAAGCTTTTTTTCCACGGATAAAATTCTTCCCGAGCGGCTCGAGATGGTTGGAAACGCGCGCGCCTCTGTGACGCTGGAACCGGCGAAACGCCCCCGTTTCATTGTCTAACACTGGGGCCACAATACGGAATACAATACTCGCGGCTGCCTAACATGAATAAATGTATTTACGATTTGACGTAGGTGTGCCCGCATACCCGGCCACGGCAAAAAATACGAACGAGGAGAGGCTTCACCGTCCTCCATCTTCTCCTCCTTCTCGAGGGGAGGCTCGTTCGAGGAAACTGCAGGTGGAGGACTGCGGGTTCAGCAGAAAGAAGAAGAAGAAGAAGAAGAAGAAGAAGAAGAAGAAGTTCGGTCGGAATCGACAGCTCGCGATTCCTTTGGTCCCGAATAATTGCGCTTAATCGTTCTGCCTCCGCTTTTCGATAATAATAATAAAAAAGAAGAAATCAAAAGGGGAAAAGTGAAATGGACGGAGTGAATTCAGAATTTATGGAAACGTCTTGTATCGTTCGAGTGAATTATCGAGTGAAGCGCGACAGGAAGGAAGGATATCCTGTGGTGGATAGAGCGGGCACGATCGATGCTCGGGACGTTTAATTGGCAATTATTTGTTGGGGCAGCGAGACCGACACCATAAACCATTGTAAATCGACGAAGAATAAATCCTCCCTTTGCCGGAACACTCGCCGACCATCCATAATGGGTGAAATACGTCCTCGGCCCAACCCCTTCTAATCCCTTTTCCCGCGCCAGTGTTCGCAACGGTCACGCATAGAAGGGACGCGTCGTGCTCCCTTCGAACGAAGCATTTTCGGATGGAACTTGGTGTTTGGACGTTCTTCTCTTCCCTTCCTCCCTTCGAGAAAAGAAAAAAGATTCGTTGAACAAAACAACGCGGGAGGAGACGAGAATGCTGCTGGTTCAGATTCGGGGAAATATTATTTTTTTGGAAAATTTGGAAAAGAAATCAAGGAAAAGATGGAACGCGCCGAACCGATGGCAATGAAATACTCGCGCGTGATTCACGCGTTGTCACGCGTTAATCTCCACCGATTAACCATTGCGCAAAACATTGCGCGTTAAAACGCTCCGCATTCTTGCGCCGCCTAATAAGAAACGGGGCACGTTTTCGTTTCGCTAATTCAACGAGCTCGAAATAACTGTACCGAGGCTTCGCGAGAGAGTCAAACATGGCGAAGCGATTTCCCGCTTCCGTCGAGCCGCGCGTGCTCGCGTTGCAAAATCACACCGCGACAAAACCGTGTAACAGGCCGGCTGCTTTATTTGTAAATAAGAGTCCCATTGACGAGGGGTAATTATCATGAGCGATCGGGAACGACAAACAGGCTTAGGGGATCACGATGACGAGCACGAAGCGAACAGAGAGAGAGAGAGGGAGATGAAAAAAGAGGGACGTAGTGTAACAGATCGATTGGAAGGAACGGACGAGAAGAGCGTTATTAGTTTTGCGAGCGATTTAGCAATAAATCCGAGCGATTCCACGTCCCGCTCGCTCGACACGTCGCTTTTTATTCGTGCCTCTTCTCGGTTCGCTTCTCATCGGTGTGGACAGTAATTAATGAGAAAATCTCGGCTGATCTCGACCGTTCCTTTCCGTTTCTTTGCAGTTCGAGTTATACGAGCATAGAAATAATGCTTTTTCTCGCACCAAGTATCGCATTACTACCACCACCACCACCACCACCACCACCACTACTACTTCGTAATTCGTTTCGCGGAATATCGTAACTGGAAACTTGGAAAGTTTCGAAAACACGTTTGCGAGAACGCGTTGCGATATTTATATGAATTGGGTATTGCTGGTCGAAAATAAGACGTGGGTGTGGTTACGCGATAGACAATCTAGTAATTATCACGGGACGATGCGTGCACTACTTTTCTATCGATCGATTTCTTCAAACTTTCCTCGAGTACCGTGAAACGGATGATTTAGGGACGAGGAAGAAAATGGAACGACGCTGAAACAAATGCTTTCGCCGGAGGACAATAAACTCCTCTCTCTCGAGAAAGAGGAGAGGACGCGAAGAGAAGTTTACTGGACCGAGACTCGGGCCGAGAGAAAGAGGCAGTCTTCTTCCTTTTGCCAGTCGACTGCGCCAACCGCTTCGTTCGTTTTTGACTTTGTCTACCCATCGTGCCCACTATCCATTATGCTCGACTCCACTGTGCTCTTCTGTGTTCCACGATCTACGAAACGAACGTGCGAAAAAATCGGAGGAGGATAAATCGCGAGAAAAATATCTCGCGAAACTACCTAACACGTCTTGCTCTTTTCTCCTTTCGTTCAAACGATATTCGAATTCGATCGTATCATATCGACGCTTCGTCCTTTTCGCCGAAGAGCGAAGGAACGCGGACGAAGGAAAACAAAAGAACTATCACCGCGCGATCCATTCAGATAGCGGAGAAGCGAGAGAGAGAGAGAGAGAGAGAAAAGAAAAAAAGGCACGGAGAAACGACGCGGAACGGCAACAAGATTCAGGGAGCTAATGGCGACCAATCGATCGACCGATCGACCATAAATGTTAACCACACTCGGAACGAGTCTAAGCAACGGTGTAACGCAAAAAGGGAGGATGGAAAGAAGAAGGGGAAGGGGAGGGGAAAAAAAATAACGTCGATCGACGTCACCGCAGCGGACGTCCATTGAGACTCGTTCCGTTCGCGACAAGATTCCGGAAACGACGCGGAACGTGTAACGAGATTCACGTAGCGCGTGGTTCGCCGGGGCGACGCTACGTGGCTCTAGCAGCGATCGTAAACGTTGGCCAACCGCCTGCTCGGCAAAAAAACGTTGCCGCTTCTTTGCCCCGTTTCTTGTCGCCGTTGCTCGCGGTTGCAAAGCCGAGGTTAAACGCAACTCGCGCTTGGCAACGCGGCCGATGCGGGCTTTCCCCTAAAGGGTTATTACTACGAATATTGGCAGTATAGGTAAGTATTCCCGCTGCGGACACGGGGAATACCACCTTTCTTCTCCGCCACGCTCCGGAGATTTCTTGCCCCGCCGTTTCTGTCATCTCGCGCCGGTCTACTGACAGAGAGAGAGGGAGAGAGAGAGAGAGTGAGGAGGGGGGGACGGATGGAAGAAGCAAGAAGCATGGATGGGCCGCGCACGCAACGAACGCAAAAGCGAGTTTAGGGCGAGCGTTGATAGAGCGAGCGATGTTTTGCTTTTGAATTGGCCAAGGCCTGGCCATTTTAGGCCCGTGCCTCGCCACGACGGCGTTCGCATCCACATCTGGAGAAAATGAGGTTCGAGCGGGGATTCAGCCGGGGCTCGATAAACGTCCGCGGGGTTTGACACGAGTCGTAATGGGATAGTCGGCCAATAGCGATGGCGGGCAATAGAGGAGTTCGATGGGTGTGCGTGCGTATCCGATCGGATACCACCGCCAGGAGCGTACCTACTACCTACTCGCTACTACCTGTCCGCCACCGTGTGCACCATCTCTTTGAACGTTGCCCGGCAGATCGGAAACGTTGGTCGTTAACGTTTGACAAATAGAGAGGTCTCGATCCTCGTTCTGTCGAATACGTGCAATACCGAGAGATCGATATCGCCAACTTTTCAAACGACGGAATGTGAACAATTATCAGGAAAGTTTAAACGACGAATACTCGAAACTCCTCTTGTTAATTAATTCGATGACGAATTAGCGTCGAAGGGCGTCATCATTGCGAGTATCGTAACCCCACTCGATAGATACAACTTATCGCAACGCTTGGAACGCGTGGTTTCGTGAAGAGGCGAGTGAAATAGGAGGGAATCGGAGCGAAAGAAGTCGGTGGTAAACGGAAGCGGTGACAGGTACCCCGCAGACGTGGAACCCGGCGTGCCCTTAGCGGAACGGATAAGCGAGCAAAGCTAATCGAGGAGGAGGGGGGGAGAGTTGCCAACTTGCCAAATAGAGAATCCGGTCTCGACGTAGGCGGTCCCAGCCGCGGGGCCCATCGTCGTCCCTCTGCGCGGGAGGAATTATCGTGCGACTGCTCGACAACCCTCCGTTCACGATCGTTTCGCACGGCCGATCGTAGGCCGATCGATTTACATGCCGAGCCGTAACGGGATGATCGATCGACTCGTCGCCGCCGAACGCAGGGAGAGAGAGAGAGAGAGGGGAGGGGGGAGGGGGAGGGGAGAGAAAACGTCGAAAACGCTGGTTTCTCGCTCGTTTCCCCACCGCTAGGACCGCTGCAACAACCTGTTACCTCGCGGTGCCTTGCGCGAAACTCGACGAGGGATCTCCCTCTCCCCGTCGATTAATATCGGCGGCCGGCGAATATTTAAAAGCGGCCGGCCGCGGGATCGTGTTCCGCGTCAGCGAAACTGTCGGGGTGCTAAGGACGTCGCCACGGATCGACAGCCGGTTGAATTATCTTCCCGTGGCGATCGTGTCGTCCCGCGTGCTTCGAGATCGTGGTTCGTGTCGCTATCCGCGAACCGTTTCCTCGTCGTCGATGACTCGTTATTTACGGACCGATCTCTGCAAACTCTCCACGCTCGTGTACGTTTCTTTTTTTCTTCTCTTTCTCCTTAAAAATAGCCGATTTTTTCCTTCCCCGTGTCGTAAACGTTTCGTCTGCGGACGCACTCGTTTAGCGTTTTTTCTTCTTTTTTATCTCTCTTAAAATTTCGAGAGATAGGAGAAAATTTAGGGTAATAGGAAAGGCGGATTTTATTCCATCGAAATATATATTCATTTCGTTTGTCAATGATAATGACGGTGATTACGATCGGTGACGTCGAATCGAGACAAGGAAACACGATCGTTTCGTTTTCCGTTCGATTCGAACGACTCGATCGAAGGGGTATATATAAATAATGTAGAGGCATCGGTCGTTAGCTCTAAAAGAGCTACCCAGTCGCATGCTTTTCATTCGGGGACAGATTGCCGCGGCGCGACTGGTCGACGAACTGGTCCAGGATTGGTCGAAGGATCGATCGGCCGAGTGGAGGAAACGCGATAGATTCGTCGTTTCGGAACGCGTCATCCCGAACGCGTCTTTCCTCTTCCTTCGATCGATTCCGTACGTGGAACGGAAATTAAATCGTAAGGAAGAGTTTATACGCGAGTGGAAACGAATAATTCGATCGAAGTTTAAAATACAAATGCCCACGTAAATAAATATTTATATATATATATTTTTCATCGATCGATCTATCCCTGGTTCGACCTCTACTCCGACCCCTGTCGGGTTATTCGCGTACATCCGCCGCGCTGTCGAGATATCGAACCCCCTCCTCGTCGACTGACGTTTCGCGGTGATGCAATTAAGCGGGGTGATTTATTATTGAGGATGAAACGTGGAGGTTCGCGCGCGAATAATCGGGATATTTCCGGGGTCGGATTAATCCCCGACGGCGTGCGACGACCTGATTTCGAATCTCGGGATCGATCGCCCTTCCTGCTCGCGCCACCCGGACGATTCGCTCGGAATTTGGTTAGCGTCGAGAGACACGGATGGGGCATAATTTATGCCCGCCCATCCGACGTCTAACGTCAATCCGAAAACGGAATTACGAGAGACGTTCGTTCTTCGGAAGGAATATCCGGTTAATGGTTGGACGTTTTATTTTTGAACGTACCCAGTAACCGGCTTCGCTTTTGCCCACGATACGATTAATCTTCATAATTTATCCCCCCCAGACCGATGTTAATCATCCTTCGAGATGATTTTGCGAAATCATTTTATAATACACCTCGTGACGAAGAAATAATCGGAATTTGAAACGGTGGTTTTGGAATTTATTAACTGGACAAAATTCGTTTTCAAATTTATAAACAATAATCGTTTCGATTTGCAACAAGCACGCGCCAAAACACGCGGTACGTTAAGAAACGTTAAACTTATTAAGAAGCGTGTTTAAACTTAAAAGACTTAATTAGAAAATCGCGCACGATGATTTTCTCGCAAGAATGGAAATATATAAGAACTTTATACAGAAATTTTCCTTTGACCGCCGCGTGTCCGATTCTTGGACACATCGGAAACATTGCAAAACTTGTGCAAAGATGCTAAATTAAATTCGAACGTGTTTACGTGACAGTGCCTCTTAACTCGCCGGTATGGATAATACATCGAACGCGCGTCGAAAAACTCGAACGAACCAAGCGAAATTACGCGAGGGGGAGCGAAGCGAAATTGACCGATCGTCGCGGAAAGAGAAAGACGGAGGCGCGCAAAGAGGGATGGGGAGGGACGAGCATTAAGCCGTATTTACGCCTGACGGCGATTTCGCGTGGGCGAGCGGGAGCGGCAATTACCCGGGCCAAGAAGCGAAGCCGCCTTAACGAGCCCTTCCCCTCCCCCCTCCTCTCCCTCTTCCATTACCGATCGAGGTGTCCCACGAATTTTAAGGAACACCTTTGAGTGCCGCGCCACCCGCCTCTCCTCCTCTCCTACGATTTTCCCGCCGCTCGTGCAGCCCAAGGGTACAAAAAGAAGAAGAAGAAGAAGAAGAAGAAGAAGAAGAAGAAGAAGAAAGAAACGAGGAAGAGAGAAAGGCAGGAAGAATGATTCTCGGGAGCAGCAACCTGTGGACCGGGCTTTTTATCGCGCCGGTCGGAGGAGCCGGCTTTACGAGGAGTCCCATAACGGAAATTTACGGTCCTCCGTTGCACCCTGCCCTTCCTTCCCCCCTCTTCCTCTCCCTCTCTCGGCTCGGATCGTGTCCCCAAGCGTTCCCAACCGCCTTCGATCCACCTTCGATTCGGATCCACGGCCGGAAAGAATTAACGCCGATTAATTAAGGCCGCCAGATTCGGACACTCTGTGTGGTCCTCCCGCGGGAGGAGGAGGAGGGGTGCGGTGTTTAAAGTACCGGTTATATGTACGACAGCCACGGAACGGCCGCCTACGCTCCCTGTTTTCGACGATCCTTATTGATCCCGGTTCCGTTAAGAGAGAGAGAGAGAGAGAGAGGCTGCTAATTGGAGAATCTAACGTTTCTCAGTCAGGGTTTCGAGGGGATATTCGATTATATAATACTTTGTAACTCGAAATAATGCTCAATGATAGTTAGATGAAAAATTAAATTCGTAACAGAAAGTTGGTTCCGATTTTCGATTTTTTTCCCTTATCCGTGGTTTTCACAGCACAGGTTGGAAACGCGTCGGAAGATACGGGCGGAATAAAATTGTCACGGTAATTGGGCACGAGCCGTAATTCGAACGATTTCCTAGGCAAAGGGTAATCACGCATATCGGAGATCGAAGCGATCGATACGGGACACGAGAACCGAGACTTTTATCCCGAGCGGCTATCGGTTCGATCAAACGAATAAATCCTCTTATCTCTCTCTTCCTCTAAAAACTTATTCGCAACGTTTATCCGTCATTCCCGTATTCGATAAATGTCGTGCAATTTCAATTAGCAGCGGTCGGAATCGACGAAACCTATCCCGAGATGAATATCTTCCCGCCTTTGATCGACGATACGAAATTAATAATCGGCAACGTCGTGAAATTACACGGTTGCCAACCGACCGATTATCGCGCTTTCCTCAAGCTGTGCTTCCACTCAAAAATATATCTACGCGTACGATCAAACGGAGCAAGAATATCGAACGTGCGTAGAGATAGATTTAGCTCGTCGTCGCGTGGAACGTAACGACACGCGAGTTGAACGGGATAATCGTTCAACGGGGAGATAAAAATAAGAATTTTCATTACGGTCGCTTCGCTGGATCACCTTATTTATTTATTTATAAAAGATCCATAAAAGATTATCACAGCGATTAAAAGAAATATCGTCCACTTCCTTCCTTCTGTCCAGAACCACCAAGAGTTTCTTACGAACTCGAGAATTAATAAAATTGAGAAATTTAATAAATTTTTAAATACAAACTTGCAACGAAACTATTCGTTACTTCGATTTATGATCCGTATCGCACGTAGGCAGTGAAAATAAGAGAGAGAGAGAGAGAGAGAAACTCCATCAGTCCGTGAAGTTAACTCATTTCGCTACGCATAAGCGCGCGCTCTGCACCTGTCGCGCTTATATATGAAATTAACCACCGTTTAAATTTTTCGCAATTAACCGGCGAATAAGAGACGCGCCCCTCTCTCTCTCTCTCTCTCTCTCTCTCTCTCTACTACTACTAACTACTA